TTTTGATTTTGCATATGCAATGATGAAAAAAAAAAAGCCTTGAGTACACCACAGCTACATAAAAAAAAAAAAACAAACAAACTTTTCCAGCAGAAAAGCTTTTTTTTTTTTTTTTTAAACAGAATTCAGCTTCCTCACTGCTACCCTCTTACTAAAATTACACGGGGATATAATGTTGCTACTTGTGGATGTTAAAAACAGTGAAGCACGACTATTAGATTATTACTAAATTGGAACATTTCTGAAACAGTAGTTTGCTCTTAGGAAATGGAAAGTATACTTGGTCCATCGGTCTTTAATGTTGGAAAATGAAAGAGTTGTCCCTCCTGGTGTGTTACAAGTGGGTTGTTAACCTTACTGCAAGACCCTGGCTTTCAGTTTATTAAACTCCCTAAAAGCTTATGTAAACATATCCATAAAAACCTCCAATCTCATACACAAAGCAAACGGTACTGTCCGTTTTGCATCCTGCCCTGCCATATTTGCAAGTTCTCCCTCGGCATGGAGACACCACTGGAGACGCCCAGATGTCTACAACAGGAATTACAGGCTCCTCTCTCAGTAACTATAGCAGGCATGAAATTAGGAGTAATCTCTAACAGATTTCACATGCAAAAAGGCTTCCACTCCTGTATCACCAGCTTCCAACACATCTTCCAGACTGAATTATTATGATTTGTGAGTAAGGGCTTCCCATTTTACTTGTATCCATCTTTTGAAAGTAGTCAATCCATAAAAACTTGTTGACATAAATGGGATTTCAACTCTTCTCAAATGAAAAACAGTCTGCTACAAGGTGTGGTTTCTGAGAAAGAGGTCCCTCCACAGAAAGAAGGCTGGAATTTCTAGTATAATTATCCTCTGAAAACAGAATAAAGCTGTACAATCTGTAATTTATGTTCTGTAGAAATAATTATGGGTAGGGAAAATTAAGACTGGACAGGCATCTTTGTTCCCTCTATTGGGTCAGAGAATCTGCTTATTAAGTATTTTAATAAAACACTGCATTTGCACAGGACCTTGTCTCTGACCATCTAAAAAATTTCTATAAACATTCAGCAATTAAGGTTCATCTGCCTTACGAAACTGATATTTACCTTTTATTTTTAAACATATAAGGAAGTTATTGCTCAGAGTTCGATTTGGCTATGCTGTACTATGCCTCTGTCATGCCAAAGGAACTTATTTGCAGTACTTCACAATCATGAGACAGGGCAAGAGGCTATTATAATTCCTTTGACCCTATAATAAACCTGCAGCTGAAGAAAGAAGTGACTTGCTCAACATCAAATAAGAAGACCTGCAAAAGCTGAAAGGAAACATGTAACATGGAGAAAATGAGGCAAGGGAATTTCAGCACTCAACTCGGTATCTAATGCTGCTTTCTGAGGTCCCTCAAAGCCCAATCAAAAGAAAATGTGTAAGACAAAAAAATGCCATAAGAAGCCTTTTACAGTCAAGGACATTCTGTTTGCCAAGGGATTTCACCAGCACAAGCTAAAGGTTCCTGCACATTAGACCTGCTTTCCAGATAGCTGGGTGCCTTGGACCACAGATCCTAAATACCTCTCTTGTGATTCAGTTTTCCTTCTTGGTATCACTGTTACACACCCCTCACAAATAAAACACATTTTTATACCCAGGAATAAAACCAACTATAACATCACACCATCAGGCTTGGTGACATTAATTTTATCAAGACGACAAAAGACAAACATACAAACAAAAAAACATCAAGAGAGATGATGAGGAAGTCATTTTGGTTTTAAACAGACAAACTAATTAATATTACTCCCCTACAGCTTCCAGAGTAAGTCTAGTTTCAGCACAACCAATCGAATCACGTTTGATTTTTACACAATTTTTTTCCCAGTAATCTGCTACTCTTTAAAGACTAAAATTCTAACAGATTCTGATAGAATCTATAATTTGTCATAATTCATAAAGCAACAGGGTTAGTGGACACTATTTCATTAGGACTGGTATCAGACGAGGAGAAATACATGGTAGATCTACCTGTCTTTGAGATAAGGTTGCATGAACACAGTGGAACACAGAGACAAGGATCTGTTGGACCCATCGTTTTATTCACTTGCTGTTACTCTAAACCTACTCAGCTCTGCAAACCAACTTCATGCACCTCATTTTACGATGGACCAGAGACTCCTTTGCGGCAAGTTCTCGCCTTCCTGGGTTTCCAGAGTGTCAGACACAATGCAGTTCTGATCCGCAGTTTGTGAATTAAACTGGACTCAGTACTGAATTCAACAAGAGCAGCAGTCAGTCTGCTTTAATAGCAGTTTTGTTCTGTGGCACACTGAAATACAAGTACAGAGAGTGTAGCTGGAGTGTGTTTACATTTATGCTGTTGACTGGTGCATTCCAAGTGACTTGCTCTGTCTGTCCCTCAATGGATCTATTTATTCAGGCCCGCATACAAAATGCAAAATTCTTTCCCATTTCTTGATAGCTTAGAATTACATTAAAATGTCTTTCTCAAGAAATGTGTTTGTTTTTTGTTTTTGTTTTTTTTTAAAAAAAGGCATAGCATTAATTCACAGGTTTACAGAAATGACCGCTTCTGTTCTTGAGTATTTGTGTGTAAAGAATCAGTTATTTCCCCTTCCTTAAAAACACCACTTCAATAGAGAAGAAGGGTGCTTCCAAGTGCCAAGCTCAGAAGACTGGGTGGTTTAGCAAGGCAGACTTAGAGGCACGAAGGAAGAGGCTCCTACTCCCATCCCTACCCTACCCTCTTCCTAGAACTCTCCCCATGCTCTCTTGGGCCTGCCTAGTTCCCCTAAACTCCTTTCGCTCTCCTCACCTCACCTCTTCCCTGCAATCCATGTTGCTTCCCCCTTTCTCTGAGCAGAAAAACGCATGTTTCTCTAGATTGATGGGAAACTTTTGAGCTGAGTCTGAAAAACGAAGATTATTTCAGACTACCTCTGGCGGGGTCCTGCAAGAATAAAAGCATCCCGGTTTATAAAGTTATGTTCTAAGACAGATTACTGTACTACAGTTAAGCACCCATACACATGTTTATACTGTCTATACATTTTGCTCTCACTATATATATATATTTTGCCTTTACGTGGTACTATTCCCCATCTCCAAAGCTGCACAAGCTTTTCTTTCAAAGAAGTATCACAAAGAAAAGAACATCTAAGGAAAAGTTTCAGGCTCTTAAAAGGAGGTACATTGCACAATCACAGTTATTTTTGCTCCAAGGGAGGAAAGAGTAAAAATCATGTATTTGGGAAGGAGGTTCAGGACTGCAAGAAGAATC